AAAGTGTAAACGAGCAAAGATGTCACTGTGAGAACTAAGGTATACCTGTCACTAGTCATGGTATTCTCAATCGCCTCATATGCATATGATAGCCTGACAATGAATAAGGGAAAAGAGAAGTATTAGTGCATTTGAATTATGGTGTTGGGGTAGAATATTGAAAGCACCACGGACTGCCAAAAGAACAAGCAAATCTATCTTGTAAGAAGCACAACCGGAGTGCTACTTACAAGAAAGGATAGTAAAACTTCATCTAAAATATTTTGGGCATGTTATGAAACGGAACCAGTCCCTTGAAAAGGACGTCATGCATGGCAAAGTGGAGGGTCAATGAAAGAAAGGAAGACCTCCCCCCTAATGGAATGGAATGATTCAGTGGCTGCGATAATAGTTTCAAACATAACAGTGTAAGGATGGTGCAGGACTAAGCAGTATTTCCTTCTGTTGTACACAGGGTCACTGAGTCAGAATCAATTTAAGGGTGCAGAACAACAAAGTCCTGGTGTGGCGCTATTGGTTAAAGCACCAGACTGCAAAGCTGTTTGAACTGCTGTTCAAGCTCACCAGCTGCTCCTTGGAAACCCTATACAAGGTCGCTCAGCAACAGCAGCAACAACATAACAAACTCTCCTTTCTCTCTCTCTCTCTCTCTCTCTCTCTCTCTTGTTTTAAAACTGGCTATTTATTTTTATTCTTTTTTTTTTTTTAACTTTTTATTGTGAATTAAGTGAAGATCATCAGCTTTACACACACTTTGTTTCTTCTTAATGATTACAGTCCCCTCCAGGCAATAACATTTACCCTGCTGCCTCCAGGAGTTTCCTATTTGCGTTCTACCAACCTTCTATCCCTTCTCAACTTTGTCCTTAGGCATACATTGCCCTTTTGATTTTGAATGATTGGCCATTCCATGGTGAGTTCACCTTGCTATTGTTATTGTCCCCCAACCCCTTGGCCCAATTTTTAGTCAAGCAGTAGGTAAGTTTACCTTGTTAAATGCCATTGAGTTGGTTCAGACTCATAGCATCCCTGTATAGGGTTTCTGAAGAATACTCCTTATCTACTGTTTGACTGAAATTGGGCCAAGAATGTTAGTTCCTTTCCAGACCTGAAGGGTGGTCCAGAGTAATTGTCATGTTCCTCTCCTCTTTTTCAGACCAGTAAACACAGTCTTTTATTATTATTATTATTGTTAAATAACTTTTAGTTTTGTTACACATGTTATCCCACTCTATATGGAATCCTCTAATGTTGATGGTGGTAGCTGACTATGTCTAGTTGATGGTGGTAGACTTTCAGGGTAGTTGATGGTGGTAGCTGAGTATGTCTAGTTCTTCAGTTCTTATCACTATTCTTTCTCCCACATTTGGAGAGACTAAAAGATGCAACTTAGCTCATGAGCTTTCAAGATCCCAGACTCTGTTCACCCAAGCAGGATGTAAAAAATTGTCTTTGTGGTCTATGTTATGCCAGTTGACCATGGTGTCCTCTGAGACTATGGTCCTGAGACTTCCAGAACCGTCAACTGATTGCCTTAAGATGCTTGATAATATCTAGGAATGTTTCCTTGTTTTGCTTGCTGTATGCTCCACCACATTCATAATTGTGTTTGCAAACAACTGCCTCTTGGTCTATGTACTGGTTCCTCATGAGCACAATTAATTGTCCATTGTTCCCCACAGTGTTGTCCATAGCTTGTCATGATCCACACAACTGAAAGTCAATAAAGCACAGGTAAACATCTCTTCTGGTATTCTCTGCTTTTAGCCAA